GATTACCAACATTAAAACCCTAGGAATGGATGTAGCCTACATAATCCCTTAGGAAGAGATTAAAAGAATGATGGTAGGAAAATTCTACCCCAGAAAGGAAGTGTTAAGAATGGAGAAAGAGCTCCATAGTCTAACTATAGAGGAAACAAATTTGTCAACCTATACCATACGTTTCGAGGACCTAGCCACTTTTTGTTTGGAGCTGATAAATTTTGAGGACAAGAAGATCAACAAATACATCGAGGGACTAACTCCATTGCTTCAAGGAAAAATAATCAACATCCAAACCAACACCTACAAAGAGACTAAAGGTTTAGCCTATAACCTAATAGGACATGAAACTCACGGAAGAACATCAGTATGACAAATAGACACAAAGAGAGGCAAGACTAGTAAAAGAAAACATGATACCCACTTATGAAGATCCATATAAAGGAAGCGGGTTATCCAAAGACCCCATAGCACGACCAGCAGACCTTACGCTAGAAGTCTTCTACAATGTAGTGAGTGCAAATACCACCATGTGGTGGGGGAGGGGGGTATAAAGAATTAGTCTATAAAAACTATGAAAAATAAGAGGCATACCTTTAAGTCCTACAAAAACCTGACCCAAACCAAGGACCAAAAGGCCGGTCCAAAACACAAATATTAGAAATGTGGCAAGCTAGGTCACTTCAAGAGAGATTGCCCAGAAATTAGGAAAGATCAGTAAGGAAATGTCTTAGACAAGATGAATTAGAAGTAACATGAACTATGTAATTCCAAAAACTATATAGCCAAGTTAGCATGATACAATAACATATTCAATAAAAGCATGTAATGTCATAAAAATACCCATAAAAATCGATATAATGCACGGTCTACACGTCTATTTTCCTCAAATTCTCTTAACTACCATGACAAATGAACCAACATCCATCGAGCAACCTTACAGACCCAAATTATAGAAGGCAAATTTCTTGAACCAAAGACTAGATCACGTAAATACTCCCAAGAATCTCAAAACATAAGTAACACCCGATATTGAGAATAATTACTATCTACAAGGATCCTTAGATGAACATTTAAAAAAAATAGGTTTCCTATTGGTGTAAAATATGGCTATAATTAAACTCGACGTAATAAGCAGAAACTCAAACCGAACAATATAAAACGACGATCTGAAAAGAGCTAATACGACCTACTATCTATTGACGAAGTTAAAGAGTAAAGACAAAAACTGAAATAATAACTAGTTCTTATCTTGAAATCGTATCAAAGAACCAAGCATAGAGTAATAAACAACACCTCTCCATAACCAAATCCTAGTGATAAGCAATACGTTCTAAATTTCGGGATGAAATTCCTTAAACAAAAGGAGAATATAAAAACTAAGGCAAAAGCATCACCAACCGTTGTTAAGAATATAAAAGAAAGCATGGTCGAATCCATAGGGACGCATCCTAAAGTCTATGCCTTTTTTGCGTAAGGCGCATACTAGTCTGGCAAAAACTAAATGGGGGGGGGGGGGGGGGGGGGGCATCAAAATTGAAATTTAAATACTTGAGAAAATTTAGAAAATAAAAGGCAATTTATGTTTCACGGTAACTCTCCTAATCATGCAAATAACCTTCAACACTATTGTTTGAATTGCGTATTGTTTAAACTGGCACCGAAAATCATTAGTAAACTCTAACAACTTTCCTTTACTAAAATGGTTAACCAAAATTAACTCTTTGAATTAAACCTTAATTTTTTTTATTGAATTAACTAAACAAGCTCTTAATTAATTGAGAAAAGTAGCATTAGACATGATGTAAAGTACCCTGTAAAGTGAAGTGGTTATAGATCGAGTGTTTGTAATGAAATCGGAGTTTAGATTGTAATATGAACACCGAGGGTAAATATGATCTGTAAGATTCAATACTTCTCACAAGCTCGAAAGCATAAAAACTTACTTGGTCAGTTTATATTAGAGTTAAATCCTTGATATAGTACCAATCTAATATCTGTTGCTTTTACTGATTAACTAAAAAATTACGGATCTAAACAATTAGATAACTGGAATGACTCAATAACAGTTTAAGTGGCTAATAGAAATCGAATCAAAATCAAACATTCAGTTAAGCATAAAATTGATCAAACTAAAAATAAATCACAATAAAAAATAATGCCTAATGACTACTTGCACGAAAAGTCGAGTCTATACGAAACTGAAATCTAGGGTTTTTAGCATGACATGGATAAAAACTAATTACAAACAATAAAAAGAAGTGTATAATGATAAATCTTACTAAGCTAAAATTACAGACTGAATCGTGCTCTTTAGATCTTCGTTCTTTACCCAAAACCTTCAGAAAATTGCCAGAAATCACCTGGAATCGAAGTTAGGGCCGACTGGAATGTTATGAGGCTCTATTTATACATCTAGTAAGTCAGCGGCCCTTTCCACGATCAATATTCTTTGTGAAAAGCACGATCACATTTTTGATGAAAAAGCGTCCAAGACCATTTAAATGAAGTACATTGCTATTTTTTAGCTTTTTAGGACTTCGAAAGGAAAATGCAATCTTGGTTCCCAAAACCACGATCGTGTTTATTGGATATATTGACCAAATGATTTTTTTGTGCCATGCAAATCCTCAATCGTCAAATGTGATCATGCTTCTCCAAAAGCACAATCGAGTTTTTTTATTTTTCTTTCAGATCAGACGTAAGTCTTCCAATTAAGTTGCTTCTAGTCATTCCCAGCTTCCATCTTCAGTGTCCAACTCCATTAAGCTCTGATGCTTCATAAAACGTTTCCTCAAAATATCGTGTCCTCATTCTATGTTACTCTGCCCTGAAAATCATAACAAAAGTGTGTAGTATGGGGCATTCTATGAATATAATTAGTAATACACAAATCAAAACAATACAAGGGAGATAGTTGGCTTTCTGTAGTAAGATATTGAGAAAAACATGCTAAAAGATGCAGATAAAATGCATCTAACAAACCTCCCGGAGCTTAAACCTTATTTGTCCTCGAGTAAGGGAAAAATAGGAATCGGGATTGAATGAGGGATATAAAGGTAATGGAGGGGAATCCTAAACAAAACTAGACTAACTAAATGGAACTTTATCCTAACACGAACAATAAATAAACAAAAGAAAATAAAATAAAAACATGAAGAGAAAATATGCAAGTGAGAATGATAAACAAAAATGAACAAAAACATAACAAAATATGAAAATCATTCCTTTTTTTTTTACGATTAGATTGTACACCGAGGAAGCTCCAATGGAATCACTATTCCAATACCTTCCATCTTTCACAGACTCCCAAATTCAGGAAGAAGCTCGACGGTGTGAACCAATACACAAATTATAGCTTTTATATAAACTTTATACCTTGATTAACCTTGGTTGAAAGAATAGCATGTTTTAGAGTTTCATGTGCTTAAGACTAAATAGTTAAGAACCATACTTAACTCATCATTAAGGACCCTGGCACGACCAAATCATCTTTCAATGAAGCAGAAGGGGTCAAATCTCTATGCTTTCACTTTTTTCTGAGAGTATCATGTACCATATCACACAATTCTTCCATTGCACCAAAATTGTCTTTAAAGTGGCTCTTGAGTTGATTGAACTTGCATTGTGTAACTTTTTCCTTCGATTTTACTCTTTAATCGTCTTTGTTGGATTTTTTCTGTTTTTTCTATTGGGTACTGGATTTGACGTTTTGTACATCCGTTGTGCTCGGATGTGCCAATTTTACTCATTTGTTAAACATTTCAAAGCAATTAGTTCTGAAACTGTTTTATCCCTGCTCACATAATGTTTCGATATACAATTCTTTTTATTACTTTATCGTTGGCATCTCGGTTCATGGTGTTTTCTGACCCCTAGTTATGAGAACTATTACCGAACTTACCACTATTGGTCTGGTCTCTTCATACTCCCATTTTCCGTCTTTTCAAAGCTATCCATAATAAAGAGTATCATTATCCCACGTTTTCTTAAAGTGAAACATGCAAAACCGGAAAATCTTTTTGTATGTTTTGATTTTTTTTTTTTTTCTTGTTTTAAAAGGAAAGAACTAAAGCAAAATTAAAAAAAGTGAAAATATTTTTGGGTTTTTTTTTCTAAAAAAAAAACTAAGACAAAAATAAAAATCTTTTTGGAAATTTGGAATTGTTTTTAGAAAAATAAAAATTTGTACAACAAATCCCCTCTCAAACCTTAAAATTAAGCATTGTGCTCAATGCTTAGAAATTAAAGATAAGGGCTTACCGAGGAGGTGGTGGAACTGATGGGATCGACTAAGGAGTTATAGAAGGATCAGTGATGAGAAGATATCTAGCGCACCCACGCATCCGAACATAACCCCTTGAGGTTGGCCGATACATGTGCATCGACTCAAGGGTCTGTAGGGAAAGGTGTGTATCATCCATGAAGAACTACTAGTTTTTGGGAATATGTTCACTTACAACATTACCGATTAGGGTCATTAAGCCACCACAAACAATCCAACCAGTTCGTAGACGAGAGACTTTCATTCATAGACGAGAGACTTTCAGGAGTCTCTTTGCTACCCAATAACTGAAATGCTGACAGTGGGTTCCGGTCACCATGCCCCATATTAATTTAAGCTTAACTTTTCCGGCCTTGGTTGTTTCATTTTGTTATGATCTGGATTCTAAAACCAGATTCAATAACATAAAACAATCAAAAGATTCTAATATTGATTGTGAAACAATCTATATTACCAAATGATTACAAGGTTGAAGATAGGATAGCTGATTCGAGATAGCCAATCTCCTAAGGAACGAATTCTAAATTTTACACGAAAGAAAGATACCTCACTCCCTGCCCACTACCCTCTTATACTATCTGACATAACAAACTAAATAATATAAAATACCTAAACTGCCCCTACTGTCATTTTATTTGTTGAATTTCCCATATTGCCCTTATCTATCATATATAGCAGAAGTTGATGCATAACAATACCCCACCCCAAAGGAACGACCTTGTCCTCAAGGTGGATAGAAATGGTGTAACATCCAAACACCCCTTGGTGACCTTTTTGTCTTGCCTTGTGCCTTGCCATGATCAGCAATTCCTATTCCTACATATGTCCCACTCACTTGCTCTACTAAATCTGATATGAGGGACGTCTCTGCCACATACTCCCAGTTAGATATCACCATCTTCATGGGATCAATAACATCAACCTCCATTAATTCCTCATACTTGTCTGAATTAAAATTTTCCCAAATCTTGACCTTGGTATCCATTCCAGCCAACAAAAGCAAGTGGTTGTTATCAAGTAGGAACCTAATCGCTAAAACCCCCTTTGTGTGCCCATTCCATGTTTGCATCATTCTTTTTGGAATATAACAATGTTCACTTTTTGCATGGGCATCATTTGGAGGTGTAAACCAAGACATGCCTTGATTATTTTTTTCTTCTTTTCCATGAAATGTACTCATGTCTAAGTTGCCCTCACCTTTGTTACCAAATGTCACTAACTCACTAATCCCCTTCTCAGCCTCCCTAGCCACCCCTTGTTGAAATCCAGTTCCATTTCTCCTCATGGTATGCGTGAAGTTTGACTTACCTGATTGATCATTGACATCCCTTTGTCTGTTCTCAACTTTAGTGCTTGTTATATTTGATTCCTCCTTGATTTGATTTTCTTTTGCAGCAATAAATCCAGTGGTTAGAGCGTTTGTACACCAGTGAGGCATTACATCACCGGTCTCAACACGTCCCACTGGTACGGTTCCAATACCAACAACCTTGTAGACCTTAGGAAGTGGTAGACGGAGTGTTTTGTCCGGTGGTTTCTTAAGCTTTCTGCTCTGATCAAGTGCTTCAAGAAGGGTTGGTCCTTTGTACCAATGAAGGTTGGTTGACCTGTCATTGGTGTTGTTATCTTCAAATCGAGAGCTTGGGACCAATGAGATTTTGTCATGGTTGTATCCCACTTCCATCATGATTTCCTTATACCTGGATTTAGAATGAGGGGGTATAGTGACGTCCATCTTGACACGATTTTCTTCACATACAAACAGCCTTGGAGGCTTGGGTATTATTGTTGGTGTTGGCCCTAAACAAGCTCTTAGAACCGATTTACTGTTGTTATTGGAATTAGCCTTCAGGGTTGTGGCGAAGTTGGTGGAAGACAGATGTTCAATATTTAACCCTAGGGTTTCGGGGGTGAAATTGGAAGAAACTGATGCTGTTGGGGCGAAGCTTGACGAAGCGGCCATCAATGGTGACGAGAAGGTCGGTGTTGGTGAAATCATCGGCGTTTGCAAGACTTCTTGAATTACCGTCATTTTAATTTCATCTGGGCCTAACTTCTTATCCGCCTTAATAGTCTGATCCCAAGCATGTAGGCCCAACTTGCCAAATTCGACCCATTCCTTGCTTTCCAGCCCATTTCTTCGATGACCTAGGTATCCCTCCTCCGTTACTTCTTTTAACGGAACCGTCTTATGCTCCGTCTTCTCTTTGAGAAGAAAGATCGGCGATTGCTATGAGGATCCGAATCGGCGACGGATCAAGCCCTTCAGCTCCTCCCAATCTCGTATGGGCTGCCTCCTATGCTCCCATTCATACCATAGTAGGGTGTCGCCCGCTAGAGCCCCCACCGCAACTTCCATTGTTTCATCATCTTCATATGAGCAGAATGACCTTTCTATATTAAAAATCCACTCCTCTGTGTTAGTTCCATCAAACAAGATCATCTCATGTTTGTGAAATCTCTGGTTGGTCCCTCCTCTGTATTCGCCTTTGGGAATATAGCCGCCGCCTCTGCCGATGAAACCACCTCCTGTTCCATTTCTTGAACCTCCTGTATCAGTGTGTGACGCTCTACTGTAAACCCTTGGAGTTTCCTCTATGGATAGAACCGGTGTGTTGCTAGGCTCTCCCTCCATGGTTTTCTTCTCATTGTTGATTGTTGGTCGGCTTTTGGCTATGGCACCCAAAATCTCCTCAAACATTTGATCCATCTTCAACTGAAGAGAGGCTATGGATTCAGCGTTCTGTTGGATCTGATGTCCTTGATTCTCCATTCGAGCATACAAATGCCCTAACTCTGTCTCAAGCGATTCAACCTTCTTCAGTTGAGCTCCTCTAGCCTCCTTCCCTCCTCCTTTATCACCAGCCATAATCCCAGGTGGTGAATGCTCTGATACCATTTGTTATGATCTGGATTCTAAAACCAGATTCAATAACATAAAACAATCAAAAGATTCTAATATTGATTGTGAAACAATCTATATTACCAAATGATTACAAGGTTGAAGATAGGATAGCTGATTCGAGATAGCCAATGTCCTAAGGAACGAATTCCAAATTTTACACAAAAGAAAGATACCTCACTCCCTGCCCATTACCCTCTTATACTATGTGACATAACAAACTAAATAATATAAAATACCTAAACTGCCCCTACTGTCATTTTATTTGTTGAATTTTCCATATTGCCCTTATCTATCATATACAGCAGAAGTTGATGCATAACAATTTAAGTAAAAAGGATTTTAAGAAATAATTAAGGCCTATTTTGAGGACGAGATGGATAATATTAGTTTGCACAGATGTGGAAGAGTCACAGGAGTCTACACCAGTAATTGAGGTCCAAAAGGCGGTTTCATCAAAAGTAGCAGGATGTAGAAAATGGTTTGTGTTGGGACCATATATATGTGTCCTGAGTTGGTGCATGGATGGGGTTACAAAGTTGATTATTATGAAGCTCGTGAGTGTTTCTAAAACAACAAAACATGAACTTACCAGCGTGGTTAATTTCAATGAGGGTGGCTAGAAACTCTCAATAGAGGTTATGTGGGATAGTCGAGGTCCAAAAGACCCTCCCAGCCAATATTGGCGAAGACAGCACGAATCCCACCATAAATATTCCACTTCTCAAGAACAGTGGTGTTGGGAGAAAAATTTTTAAGGGTGAAGTCTCTGGTAAGGCTACCCGGAGTGGGCGTCTATGAAGACGCTTGATGCTGATATGAAGACGCGTGAACACCGCCCCAAAGGCCGGTGTTCTTGGTGTGGCGTGGATCGGAAGACGGAAGAAGACGGAGCTTTCTATTGGTTGCTTCTTTTTTGCCCCCTATTTCCGGTGGTTTTGCTTTTAATCCATTGAATTAAAAAAAAAAAAAAAAAAAAAAAAAAAAAAAAAAAAAAAAGGAGGAGACCCGTTTTACAGAGAAATCGGGTGAAGAAGACAACGAATTGCACATTTTATATAATTTAATTCAAATTACATATTTGGTCCCTGAGATTCTGGTATTTAATCTTATTATACCCTTTCACTTTTGTTTGAATTATGTTACACCCTTAATTATATATAACTAATTATGTTTATTTAAATTAATAATATTTTTATTTGATTTTTTAATTAGTAAAATGATTACTTAAGTTTATAATAATGTTTTTTTAATTTAATCTAATGTTTTAAAATTAAAAAAATTAAAAAATAAATATTATTAGTGGTGACCATTTCCAAAGTTTAGTGGGTTAGTGGTGAGTTGGGTGTGAAGCTGACGTGGTGCATAGGTGACAACATTTTTCCGGTGGGGTGGGTGTGACCACTCCCCATAGCCTTAAGGAGGTTATAATGGTCTAACGCAACCTAGGACCCTAGATTCACCATATATACTTGAATGGTATAGGAATTGTTTGGGTGATCAGCATTTCTGTGCGGAGGATTGTTTCTAGGAGGCATGGTTTCATGTAATGGTTTGGGGTTGATCACACATAGATTTTTCAAACAAACAAAAATTTTAACAAATAAAAGAGAAATATAATCTAGCTATTCCCAAGCGGATACAAAAGTCTGCACACACACATACACACACACACACAGATATATATATATATATATATATATATATATATATATATATATATATATATATATATATATATATATATATAGGTTTTAATCTTGACATATGTTTTTAGTTTATTTTAGTATTTGCTTTTATTTTGTGAGTCAAATAACTAGGTAGAATAGGTCATGTTAGGAACGAGTATTTGGGGCCCTGCTAATGGATGATTAAAATTAGGGAACGTGGGCTTAGTTGAGTTTAGTTTGTTTAGCTCCATTAGGTTATGTAGGCTATAAAAGCCTTTTATTTTTCTGGAAATATATGCAGCCGTATGAGTTACAACTACTCTTTCTCTTCATCTTATTTTCATACGTAATTAAACAATACAGTGTACATTGTTTGAGAGGGAGTTGAGCACCTGATTTCCAACATTTGGTATTAGAGCTTAGGCTCGATTAGAAGAAGGAGGTGGGCGATTACATGTAAATCGCATGAAGGTTTGAGGATCGGTTGCACAGCAGCAAAACTAGTGTGAAGAAAGAAGAAAGAAAGAAGAAAGAAGATAGAAAGAAGAAAGAAGGAAAGAAAGAAAGAAAGAAGAAAGAAGATTGTGACAACCCGTTGTTGTCTACCTGAGAAAGAAAGAAACAGAAAGGTACAACTCTTTTTACCAAATTACTTGCAAAAGAAAGAAGAATGGCAGGAGGATCAAACCAAGGGGGTTCAAAAGAGATTGTAGTTCAAGGTACTGTTGTACCATTTCAATGCCCAAAATTAACAGAAACTAACTACACCACTTGGTCTATTATGATTGAAACTGTGTTAAGGGCATATGGACATTGGGATGCTATAACCAAAGATGTGGTTGAAGAGAAGAAAAATTGTAACGTCATAAAATTTCCAACCAAAAATTTTCGTTTTTACAACCATCAAAACATGAGTAATAAGTTTAAATTCCAAAGTAACAATGTAGTCACAACCGATTACATAACAAAAGATAAAATAGTTTTCCCCGAGTGTGTGTACGGTCACGCTGGCGCCTTCCCACGGTCCTCACTCGTACCTGAAACACATAATGCAACAACTGTAAGCATAAAGCTTAGTGAGTTCCCAAAATACAACATACGCACATACGCCTTTCCAGGCCTTGACCTTCCTGTCCATGTGTCTCAGGGGACTTCCGTCCCGACTGGGTAAACCTTCCGGTCCTACCCACGTCCACCCTTACAGTCCATATGACCACGCCTTCCGGCCCATATCAAACATATCATACATGACACATATAGCAAATAACTTAACACACATAAGGCATATATTTCATATCATATTCGACCTTCCGGTCACATAGTCAAAACCCTTCCGGGTACAGTATAGTGAGAAGACTCACCTCGTATGCCTCGCTAAGTCGCTAATCGTGAATCCTGGAATCACTCGGGCTCGAACCCTCGAGCTGCAATCCTCCTATGATATTACAAATCTATAATTATTACTTGTACCACTAAGGTGGACCATCCATATCAAGTCAACACAGGTTGACTTGGTCAGCAGTCTTTAGACAATTTGGACCAGACTCGGCGAGTCACAATAGCGACTCGGCGAGTCTACGCGTTTTTACCAACTCTCAAGAATTTTCCCTTTGACTCGTCGAGTACTCCCCCGACTCGACGAGCTCCACCTGGGCCTGAATCACAGGGCCACCGCGACTCAACTCGCCGAGTCGAAGGTCGACTCGGCGAGTCCCAACCTGACTCGGTCCACCTGTCAAAACCTTTCCAACTCTCTGCGACTCACTGAGTCGCCCACAACTCGGTCCACTACACACAGGATGGTCTCAAGGACAATCTTCAAGCGACTCGTCGAGTCTGTTCTTCAGACTCGGCGAGTCCATGCCATGCACCAGCTAAAACTGGCTTTTGCGGTCAGATCCGTTCCATACATACATAGATCTGGCCTTCCCAAGCTTATTTGTCACGTAAAGTCTCAGTCTTGGTTGCCATGCAATGCATACAAGGCTTATTTTGAAGAAACAACCACTTATTTGGCAAGTTTAGCTTCTAACTCAAAAGAATGGACATAAAGCTTGTCATGAGGGGTCTCCTGGACCTGCTTAAGTCCAGATCTAGGTTCCATGTCTCCATGGGACCTCTCATACTTCTTATTCAAGCCAAGAAATGCAAGAAGAAACCCTAGATTTGGCCCATCAACACAAAACACGAAGATTGGCTCAGAAAATTACCTCAAGAAGACCCCCTTGATGAAATAGCAACATATCTAAGCTCCCCAACACTTCAAGCTTGCTCCTCTCCCTCCTTTCCTTGTAATATCACACAAAATGATGAACAAAAGGCCTTCAAACACACTCACAAGGGCTTACAGACGTATGGAGGCTCTTAGGGTTCAAGGTGGCCGCATATGAGGGCCATAAGGTCCTTTAAATAGGGCTTAGGACCGGGAAATTAGGGTTTCATCAAACAGCGCGGACTCGCCGAGTCCATCCCTTGGACTCGCCGAGTCCGGATGCGAACCCCCGCTCAAAAACGCGACCCGACTCGGCGAGTCGACTATTAACTCGCCGAGTCCCCTCACAGAATGATAAAAATATATGAAATGGAGATACCTGGGGATTCGGGCTGTTACAAAAATTATACCACTAAAGGTATAATTTTTCAAACTCTACCAGAAAATGTTCTCTTGCAGGTTGCTAAGCACCAAAGTGCCAAAGACGTGTGGGAATCAATCAAGGTCCGTTATATAGGAGCCGAACGGGTGAAAAAAGCAAGGCTACAAACTTTGAGAAACGAATTGGAGACGCTAAAGATGAAGGACAATGAGTCAATCAATGACTTTTCGGGCAAAATAAGTGGTATTGTTGCCAAATTCAAAAGTCTTGGTTCAACTCTTGAGGAGGAGGTGATTGTAAGAAAAAATTTCAATTCGGTTCCAAAGAAGTATTTGCCCATTGTAGCTCCCATTGAACAATATTCCGATCTAGAAACTATGACATTTGAAGAAGCGGTTGGAAGGGTTAAAGCTTATGAAGAAAGGCTTCAAAGCCTTGAAGAAAAGGAAGAAGATCATGATCAACTGATGATGGCGAGTGAACAAAAACATGGTGAAAGTAATGGACAAGGAAGAGGACGTGGAAGAAACTTTGAAAGCGGTGGAAGAGGCCGAGGAAGTGGAAGAGGTCGAGGTGATAAAAGTGGATTTCGGTGCTTTAATTGTGGAGACTTTGGGCACTTTAGTTATGAGTGCACAAAGTGGGATGACAAAGACAACAACAAAGAAGCAAACTTGCTCCAAGAGGAAGAACCGGTACTGCTTTGATGAAGAAACGAGTCAAGATTCAGGGG